TCCGACAGAACACAGACCAACTTTTACCTGCTGTCTTAACAGTGCGTTTTAGAAAATACTACAAATGGCGCAGTGAACGCCATCTGTAGCACGATGCTACATTTTAGGATTACGTATGCTCCAACAAGGTCCACTTGTGTGGATATCTACTTGCTGAAAACGAATCCCGACGTAACCAACCACAACGTGATAGGCACGTTAGCTTAATCGAATAAAATAATTCGAAGTGGTCTGTAAAAAAGTGTTTAATTATTTATGTTCTACCATCATTAAAATTATTGAAACCACTTCAGTTCTTTTTTTCGGTAGCACACACCCTTAGCAGAGTAGGGTTGGCAAAAGTGTTCTGTCTCTCTAGCCACTAGTACAACATCCTATACACCTATAAGCACAACAGCCAAATACTACGTCTTTAGAGCAGTGAACTACGCAGTTCCATCCAAAGATTTGTGCAGCTTATTCATAAACTACAGTGTAAACTCTTTATAACGTCACTCGATTTAACGACAAACTCCTTAAAACGTCGAAATTGCTTGACTTTGGTTGGTTTATATTGTATGCTATACAATATTACACTCTATATAGCGTCACGCTCACTCTATTTAACGACAACAATGCGGCATTATAAATCATTAAGCAGTACTTTCTAAGTTGCCGAAATAGATAAGAACTGCAGCTGTGTACGTTGTTCAAGAAGACGATCCTGTCCCTCCACCAAGCATCAAACAACCACGTGATGCAGCGAAACTATTAAAAAAATACTTTTTATATAATCAAATTGATTCAGCAGTATCTCAAGATATGACTAAGATACGTAACAAAATACAATTAAAATATTGGAGCAGCAAAAAACATCAGACGAAGATAACAGGCTATACGCAATCGCAATGTATGAATAATATTGTTCGTGTGAAAAATGTGTACTATATTGGTAAATGCATATTATTATAGAATAGTAATATAATATCCCTTAAGTGTCGTTATATAGAGTTTACACGTATATAATGACTACTGGCACTAATTGTAACTAGTGATGAACAAAACCTAGGACCAAGATTGTCTTTATACTACGAAGAACGAAAAACCTGAACCCAAACACCTGCACCTCTACTGTAATTGAAATACATATGAATTGGAGTTGCTCTTAAAGATCATTGTAAAGAGGAGTTAAAAAAAAAATATTTAATAGTTTAGTTGGGTTTTCATTCTGAAACCGAAATTTCTTGTGTAAATGATTCCTTTAATTTGGTCTGTGTTCTCTCGGCGCTGCCTGCGACGCGCTGATGAGATCCAAAAAGATCGAAATCGCGATCCGCGTCTGGCAGTTTCGACAGAATACAGACCACTTCGAATTATTTTATTNNGAACACAGACCAACTTTTACCTGCTGTCTTAACAGTGCGTTTTAGAAAATACTACAAATGGCGCAGTGAACGCCATCTGTAGCACGATGCTACATTTTAGGATTACGTATGCTCCAACAAGGTCCACTTGTGTGGATATCTGCGCTGATGAGATCCAAAAAGATCGAAATCGCGATCCGCGTCTGGCAGTTTCGACAGAATACAGACCACTTCGAATTATTTTATTTGATTCCTTTAATGTTATATTCCCTTAAAAATCCCGCTGTTGATACTGTCTAGTTAATAAATCTTTATCATACACAAAAGCCGGAGTGTTTGGTGCAACTTTCCACACATAAACTCCGTGGGAAATATCTTCTGGAACGAGTTTGTGTTCTTGCAGAAGATACTTTACAAGATCCGTTGAAATATCGAATGTTGCAATGCCGATACATTTCTCATCCATGTTCCTGCTGCTCATTGGAATTGCTTTTGTGTTAGAATACTTATCAATAAAATCCTTGGCATAATCTATTAAAATAAATAAATAAAAATTAGATTTTATTCTGATATTACCGTTGACAGTGGCGGATTATCTGTAAGGCAAACTAGGTAGATGTCTAGGGGTGCAAGGGTAGATAGGGGTGCTCGCGGAAGGTTTTAAACGGAAAAAAATTAAGAAAGTACCTACTTACAAAAAAACATACTTTTTACAGAGATGTAAGGTTTCCGAAACGAGCCCCGTACCTTATTATTTTGCCAAATAGATGACCGCCAGAGGAGCGCCTATGAGGTGCTGACCTAGGGCGCTCTCGATATATAATCCGCCTCTGACCATGGGCAAATACATTTAGGAAGAGGTCGCTTGAAGTGACCCGATATGAATGTACTATAGAACAATTATTGAGAGATTTCGGTTACATCACCGAGATAGTTTATATGTATCAAACCAAAAAGTACACAGCTACAACGTGAAGAACCACGAACAATAGAGTATGTTGCGTATGTCGTTGAATAAGTCATATAATTTGTCTGCAAGCAATCTCTCATTAATGTTAGTATGAATGACCAGGGTAAAGTAATTAATTCTTTTCCAAACATTTTTTTGATGAACTTCAATCTTCAGTTAGCATTAATCAATTATAAAAACTGGTAATTTCAAGTAACATTAATTGTTATTACAAACAATTATGTTTACCTGAATTAAAAGCAATTAGTTTCAAAGGATTTTATTATGCAGACACTACAATGTTATTTCGTCAAGCATTGAATTCATCAGGTGAAGATGACCAAGTCAATATTATTTTACCCCGCTCTAACCGTTACACCCCTTTCACGTTAATTATCACTTTGGATGCAAACTTTATAAATTGAGTAGAAAGAGAAACAAAAACACTCCCTCACTACTTTCGTCTCTATGCCTGCACTTTTGACTTACCAACCGGTATGGCAAATGATATTCCCGCAGTGACACGGAGATTGTTGATTCCAACGACGTCTCCTTCAAGGTTTACCAGCGGACCTCCTGAATTTCCAAATGTGATTGAGGCGTCAGTTTGAATATAACGCATTGAGAGGTTGCTGAGTCCCAGTTCTTGGGCAGATCGGGTCACTGAACTTACCTAAGAAGTAATGTTAATTACATAGGATTTTTAAATTTAGAAAAGGATTTTGACAATGTTAAATGAGACAATATGTTAAATATACTTAAACATGTAGGGATGAGTTACAGAGATAGAAGAGTCATACTTAGTTTGTATAATGAGCAACAGGTAGTTATAGAGCTGGGTCTGCAACGCAGAGAAGTAAATATTAGGAAAGGAGTCAGGCAGGGATGCACACTGTCACCGCTACTTTTTAATCTATACATCGAAGACGCCATCAACATCATTAAAGTCAGTACAACTGTAGGGATAGATATACAAGGGCAAAAGANAAATGTAATATTAATTTCTGGTTAATCACAAGGATTTATCTTTTGTGAGTTTATTATTCGCTGTGGAAGTTCAGAAATGTTTTGAAATTTTCTGTCTTGGGTAAATGAAGGTTTGGAGGGATTATTAAGTTAATCTTAAGTTAATACCTTCCTGTAACATAATCAGAAATAAAATTAGTGTTTACGCGATCGCTTTATCAGCTAAAACATCCAATAAAATCAAGAATGCCTCAATAATATTAATCAATTTGGTACTAATCCGATAGAAGACTGCTGGTCTCTGACCTGAAATTAGGAGGCGTGTTAGGTGAACAGGTACTTCATTCAGCAAGGGATGAAAATACTTTATTAGAATTACAACCCATTTAGTAGCTTTTGACCTTTGAATTCGTGGTCAAAGCGATCACCTACGTGTGTGCTTTCCAACGGTAGGCGTCAAGGTTAAGTCAATATTTTGCTTCACAACGTGAAAATGTGCTTATTGCTGGATTACTATGCTAATCCTCTGGCCACATGAAAGCTGCAATTAAAGCCTATATACATTGCAGGAATGAGTTTAACCGACCATAGGGAGATATATAAGGAAATTGTATTTCAAATACATGGTGACGAATATGACGTATGAGAGGCGGGGGTTTTACTCCCCTACGCCGATCGAGCGCGCATATGATGGATGACGAAACTGAAATAAAACTTTTATTCTCTGATTAACAAAATAAAAACGTTAATAAGAGGTCACCACACAAAGTGTTAAAGATCATTCCAGTCTGTTGCCATACGATGAATGTTTTCCGACATTTCAAGTGGAATAATGCTTGTCACTTCGACTATTTTTGTACGAAGTTCATCCAAGTTACCGCTACAGCGTCTAAAACTAAATATGATAAGTGGGTGTCAAACACTGTAGGGTTGCTCTGCTCTAGTACGTAAGTTTCAGCGATTAGAAGTCGGACTTAACACTGGGATATGTGACACTTAAGTACTGTTTTGTGGTAGGGATTATTTTTAACATTTTACACTGTCGACTAAATATATTCCGTCTCGGTATACGACAGAAGGCAGATTTAGCGAGTTACGGGGGAAGAAATAAAAATGTTCAATTATACGAACAAAAAAGCTTACAATTATATTCACCATTTTATCCGTTGTTATACAACTTACAGGTTCATTACAATTCCACTGAAAAAATGAAATTGGCGCATAGTGATGATGCCTAAATATTTATCATGTGTCCTTTACAAACTATCACGAAATAAAATAAGGAGATACATATAGTAGATACGATTGGAAATGAATTATCCGTGAGAATGGACGTATCTTCTTGCAACTGCACTCATTTACTGCGATTTGAGCACGCTTTTTGAAGTCAAGAAATGCTTCATGAGTAATACAGACAAAGTGAACAACAAAATTTCAGTGGTGAACAATTGACCTAAATAATCGAGAAAAAAATACATACTTTTTTTTGGAATGCACAAAATTAATTAAATCATTTAAAAGTCATCGTCCGAAGACGAGAAATCATCAGTTGATGAAGAATCATCTTTTAAGTTTACCACGTCAGGTATAATTTCACAATCACGACACTTTTCTGTTTCCCAATTATTTTGAATTATTTTTTCAGTATGCTGAATACAGGCCTCCCAATTTTCTTTTGTTACGCTATTTACTGCTGTCTTCCAAGTTTCATGAACAGCTCTATCGCCGTATCCATTTGTTCCGATATTTTTATCGTAAAAAGACTTGCATTGCGCCCAGATCAATTCAATCCCATTGAAATGGCAATGATAAGGAGGTAATCGTAAAACGGAGTGTCCCATTTGTGCAGCCAACGGTAGAAGGGATTCCTTTCTGTTTATAAGCTTTTACAAACTGAAGAAGTTCGCATTTGGAGGTTTTTGGAGGAAAACTGATTTGTTTCTTGTTTAGCCATTCAATAAGTTCATTTTTCTTTGATGAAGAGTTAGGGATACGTTCTAACAGTCTTGAATAGTAACATGCATTATCTAACATTATTAGCGATGGCTTTTCTAAATTTGACATCGTTTGCTTCTGAGTTCTCTTGCCCCAGTCCAAAATTTTCCGTAGTTTCTTTGGATTATTTACGTAAATGCTAATACAATTATATTTCATAGATAATATTTCTTGACCACCATTCTGTCTGTCCCAACCACTTCTTACAATTCCCGCAGGAAAGCTAAAGGGGCTTTCTACTGCAGTATAGGTTGGACAATCTGCCCTCCCAACACCACTAGTAGCTGACAGTAGAGATGGTACCCCCAAAAGCCTTTTATATGTTGTACAGTTCTTCACCGAGCAGCATGCAGTGTGGTGATCCATATATTGACTTAGCAATGGAAAGGATTACTGCTTCTATTCGTGCTCAATTTTTTTTGTGATTTCTTTGGACCAATTAGGGAAATGCTGGGTCTACAGTATCCAAGAGATAAGTTTTTAATTCTGTGTTCATCATTCTCTCCCCAATCAGCACCCACCCATTCCCACGATTCCTAAAAGGAGACTGAAGAGAATTCTTCTTCTTCACTTTCCAACTTTGCACTTAAGTGTAGGTCGGAGTGACTGCCCACATACACTGGAGGAAATGAAACATCTGAAGGTTTTCTTAAAGTTCTTCAAAATTTATTGATGTATAGATACTGATGGTGCATAATATGTTTTAGAGGAGTTTGTTTTTATTCAAAAATAACGTTGGATAACCTAACCAAGAGCAGCATGCGGTCTGATGGTCCATATCATGACTTAGCAGTCGAAGGAATTACTGCTTTTATTCCTGCTCAATTTTTTTTTATGATTTCTTTGGACCAATTAGGCAAATGCTGGATCTACAGTGTCCCAGGGATAATTTTTTAATTCTGTGTTCATCATTCTCTCCCCAACCATCACCAACCCATTCCCACGATTCCTAAAAGGAGACTGAAGAGAATCTTCCACTTGACTCTCCAACTTTGCACTTGAGTATAGGTCGGAGTGACTGGCTGAAGAAGACCTTAATTGGTCCTAGAACGGCCTGAGGTGGAGGGGTTTTAGTCGGTAGGTCCGAGGACTTCTTCCTCGGGAATCCGACACTACCCAGTCGTACGGACGGCTGAGTGTCTTTTGAAGATTTCCCCTCTTCCACGAAAACATAAAAAAAAAAACAAAAGTGACTGCCCACATACACTGAGGGAAAAAAAGCATCTGAAAGTTTATTTACAGTTATTTAAAATTTTATTGATATATAGACACTGATGGTGCATAATATGGTTTAGAGGAGTTTGTTTTTATTCAAAAATAACGTTGGATTTATTGTGATTTATTTCAATCTCGATCAAAACGTTCTGCACTCAACCATGCTTAGTCGATTAACGTAATTTTCAGCTTTATTATGCGCTAGTGTTTTAAGCATTTTTGACGTGATGTCTCGTTGAACTTTCTAGCACAATAAAGACAATTGCAGTTTGGCAGAAAATCGATACGAATTCACGTTCATGAACTAAATTAGATTGGATCTTCGCTTTATTACATGTCAGTGCAGTTTATATGGGACATCCCATTCTTTACCTCAAAGAACGAAAATGGAAATCACCAGACGCGAATGCCGGGGAGGGTTTTAGGGGGTCTAACTCCCCCTCCCCGAAATTTATGAGAAATTTGCACATTTCATGCATTGTACGTTTTCATGGTTACATATAACTTTTTAAATAGTTTGCCGATATATAATGAGTCTAAATTATTGAAGTGAAATTTCTTTACACACGGTATGGTAAGTTCGTTTCATGTGAGTTGCTATGTAACGAAATCATGCAACGCATTTCCCCCGCTGTCTGTCCCTATGTGTGCTTAGATCTATAGAACTACCCAACGGATTTTAATGAGTTTTTTTTTTAATAGATAGAGTAATTCAAGAGGAAGATTTATATGTATAATACATGCATAATACAGTAGAGAAACACTGATAATTTTAGAGGTTTGTAATGTGATGTCGTAAATAAACACATTTTTTTGCGCTTACATTTCAAACGCTGGCTGAACCCTACGAGATAGATCAAAATAATATACTACAGTATTGTACACCAGTACTTTTAAATACATTGTGCATTTAATATAGATCAATATGGCCCATTCAGCATGAAATTTAAATGAACATTTTCGAAGATATTACAGACTTAAAATGCAGGGACATAGTGGTTGCGGCGGTACCCGCCGGTTTGTATTATCTAATGACAAAAAAGCTGTGATTCTTGTATATAAAGACATTCTATAGTATATTTACTGTCAGCATTGCACCCGTGCGAAGCATAGTGTATAAATAATTCTTACCATTAAACCAATTCCTTAACCCCTATCCCGGTATGTTTGTGTGTTTGAAGAAGTTTCACTTTAGTAGCGTGTTGTATAATTACACGTTGTATTTTTTTATTACTATTAATTTATTTCCTTCATAATGGTTAGGTAATTAAATCCACCTCGAGTTTCCAAAAAAAAAGGTAAATTAGTTTGCCATTCGATTACCTTACCTAGAGGAATGCCCGACAGCTCCGGTAAATAATTTACTTGCAGCTGTGGACGGCAATTAAATATCAATCAAATTACTGGTCGATTGACGATTTTCCGGTAATTTTTTAGCATCCTATAAATATGTCACGAAACAAGTCACTTCGTTAACGCTAACCTGTTTTCGATTTTTTGCCATCGTTATTCATTTACGCACAAACCGAAAATTGGATTCAAACCTGAAAATTTGACGAAAACGAATTTCCTATTTTTCATAGAAAAGTGCCAGTCTATCATGGGACTAAAACATTTTTAATTGTTCAGTGAAAACAACAGAAGTCAACAACATGTTTGTAAAAGTTTATATGTTATTCATAACTTTAAAAATAAATTAATATATGCAATATAGTACAACTTATATATAGTAGATCTAAGCCAACTTTGGATATTCAAGAACGAAAGCAAGTCAAAAAATAACATTAAAAAATAGAAAATGTGAAAACTCAATCTAAAATAATAATTAATTAACTAATCTTTCTATTTAGTTCTACATCTGTAGTTCATAATAAGCAAAGCAAATGAAGAACTTTAAATTTACTGTATCAAAAGAACTTAAGAATTTATTATCATTAACGCACAACTAGTTTAAACTATTCCAAGTATTTAAAGTATTCAAGTTACATGTTAAATCTACTTTAGAATTCCTTACTAAATTACAGACTTTTGTTAATAGTTTCGGTCTGCTAATATATTTGTATTTTACAGCCTATTCTTTTTCTAATTTAATATTATGTCGAAGACTGCTGATATAAAAGAAGAAATAATGATTGTATGGCGAAACAGTTGAAAAAAATTATCTTAATAAATTAAATGGAAAGCTTAGAGAATTTATTGATTATATAAAATTCAATATTGTTATGAACGAATGCCGTAGGCGATCGATATTGACGGTACCATTGATATGCCCAAAAGCCAACAAGCGCGATGCATGTATGATACAGCGGACAATACTGGCTGAATAATAAGAATTTTCCGAGAATAATCAACAATATTGTATAAATAAATAAGTATATGAACAGCATCCGATGAACTAATAGAAGAGTGAATAGAATAGAGACAAATCTCATCTATTTTTTTAAAGATCTATAATTAGTAGCAAAGATGTTGTTATTTGTAAATTAAATGATATAATAAATTACTGCAAAATATCAGAATAGAATACTGTCTAAATAAATCACACTATTTTATTGTATTACCAAATAAGATCATAA